CCCCTTCCCCTCCCCGCAAGCTACGAAAGGTCTTGGTGTTCCTGTCAGGGCTGGTTGGTTCCTCTGCCCTTCTGGTTGTCATTGTTCCTTCTGGACTTTCTGGAAAGATGTCACTGGGGGGAAGATCTCTCTCAACTGCGCTCCCAGGCTTATCGTGAGAGGAAGTGGGCTTGGAAACTGCTGCCATGTGGGGGACTTGGATACTGGGGATCACGGTGAACGTGGCCCTGGACCACGCTTGCCAAGCTTATGTAGCGCAACAGGAATTGTTCGTGTGGCACTGTACTTGATATTCTTGAATGTATTATTTAAAGGAAGTTTGGCTTGGAAAAGGCTTTTGCAGGTTTGATTTGATGTGATTTCTTGTGTCTGAGAATGATAGCAATAAATAAATACAGCGGCATTATACTACTAACTGGATTGAGGCTCGAGTTTTTTAAGAGCTAAAAGTAATAAGGCATTTGTGATAGGCCTTTTTAAAGAGAAAGTTACAAATAATTTTGGAGAGTGGCATTTTCTGTCTTTCAACTCATGAGCAGTTAGGCCTCGGTTCTCAAGGATTCTGTTTTTTCTCCCCCCACTTCCTTTTCTTGTTTTCCCTCTCCACAGAGAGATTAAAGAATATTTTGCTGTATGTTGCAATGCACTTAAACATTTAGTTTCTGGTCGTCTGTGAAGGGAGATAGTTGTATCATTGCTTTATCTTACACCCACATTTCCCATTCTGAAATTAAAAGATACTTTCATTTTATTTATTTATTTTTTTTTTTCACAGAGAGGAGGGTTCTGGTGTTTTTCCGCTATGAGATTTCCAGCTCAGTGTAACACAAGGACATTGGAGTAAGCGCTTTGGCAAGTCTGAGATAGATCAGACCCCAGCTGTTTTTGGAGTTTAGTCAGTGAGTTTGAGTATGCAGCTTTATTTACAGTTACTTAAAAGAACACCGGCCAAAGCGTTGACACACCACTTGATGTGCCTTAAAATTAGTGTAGTCTCATTTTGTGTAAAGTCTTTGATTATAGTGGATGGTTCTCTTTGATCAGGGACTTTGCATGGTTAAAAGGAGTGCCTACATGCTTTTTTGTGAAGGTTTTGGGCGTTTGCATGAAAAATCTTATTTTTGGGGGACATATTATCCTAGAAGTTTTAATGCATTGGGATTCAATTTTTTATATATGTCCTTTTAAGGTGTAAAATATTTGTAACCACTCATAACCATCATACTTCATAAATAAGCTGTATAAAGTTTCAGACCACCCAGTGTGCTAATTCAACACCATTTTAAAGTTTATCACCAGTTCTTTTGTAGGCTTATGAAATACAAGTTTCTGGTTTCTTCTTGTCAGGAACGAGTTGTAGGTGACTACTTAGGATGAAAAATTACAATGTTTTGCTCTGGAATGTATCAGATTTAATCGGTTCTGTCCCACAATGACGGCATCAGTAATATGTCAGAAGAATGTTTTGAGCCAGAATGAATTTACACTTTAAAGAGAGCTGCTGGCAAATCAGGGTACTGTTCGTTCCTAGATACAAATCGGTTTACCTAGAATTGAAACCTCATTTTTCTTGTAGTCAGAATGTAAAGTGTCAGTTACTGCCAGTTCAGTAGATAACCCTCAACATGCAGGTTGAAGGGCTGCTGTAGGGCTCACATCTTTCAGGGCAGTATCTGGGCATATTGTGTATAAGAATGGAAATCTGAAACTGTGTGACTTCAGTGTAAAATACATCGTTTTTTCCCTCTGGGTAGCTGCGGGGCAAATACTCGCAGTACCAGCTGTTCCACTGTCCAGTCTTGCAATCAGCCCTGTCATATTTCCTGTCATTAGGGAACTCATTGACATTTGAACCTCCAGTGGACTTCAGGGAGACTGTGGGTTTTTTAGGGACTACTTGGATACAGAAATAGTCACCACTTTGACCAGCTAGCAAATAAGGGATATTTATAACAAATAGAAGATGCTTAATGCACAGTTGCAACAAAGCAAACATTTTAAAACTAACTTAGTAGTTTTTAAGTTAGATTATGTCTACCATACTTAGCTTTTCCAACAATTTAACCCCTTCTTCTTGTTAAAATGTCTATTTAGAGTTCTGTTTTTTCAGTCTCTTAGTCACTATAATTTGTAGTTTCCATTGGGAAGTGATTTAAAGAACAAATGCCCTTAGTGTTTGAGCAGATAGTCTTGTACCTAAGATAATTGAGGTCTTCTTTAATTTTTAGCAACTCTTCCTCCCCTTCCTTCCCTCACAAGTTATTCCTGTAAGAAGATTGCTTTGCGATTTTTTTTTTGCTTTCAGTTTGTTTCATTAACAGTTTTTTATTTACTAGTGGACTACCTGGGAAAGGTGCAGACACTTTGGATTTGCCATCTAAATAAGAGTTGTTTCAAATGTGCATGTCTCATGAATTCATGTTTAGCAGAAAGCTGTAGCTTTAGGACAAAATTTGACCTGATACCATTTGAAAAAGTACCTTCTACTGATAGAAATAGAAAATAATAGAAATAATTACAACTAATAGAAAAACTGTAACTTTTTTTTTTTTTTTGGTGGAACTTTAAAATATAATTCATGATTTTTACACTATATAACCTTTTCATGACACTGGGTTTTCAGTTACTCTCACAACTTACTGCTGTGAGCTCGTTTTGCTTATTGCATTAGCCAGTCATTACAGTTAGTTCTTAACCTTTTGAAGTGTATGAAATAACTTGGATTGAAAAAACTTAGAGCAATAACATTTGAATTGTTCTGCTTGTTAGAAATGTTTTTTGTAAACATGAGCTTCTTACTCTTTTAAATCTTTTTCCCCAGATAATTTTTTGGCTTTTTTTATTCCTGTTAGACTGTTTTAAACATAACTTAAAATTTTTAAAATTTATTTCATTGGTTCCAGAATTACAGATGGACTTGCAGGCTTGACTGGATTTTCTGTTCTTTACTCTAGTTTTCACTTGAGACATACTTTTTGATAAGAAAGGAGAAGAGATAGAGAGGGGAAGATAATGAAATAGCTATTTTGTGTAAAACTTAACTTGAGAGAGATAGAAGGAACTTGCAATTAGAGATTTTTCTCATCCTTTTGATCTAACCATGTTGTTAGTGCAGTCACTTTCAGGAAAACCTAAGTTCTATAGATAGTGCAAGTACTGTAGTGTACCCACAGCCATGTGCTTGAGACAGGAACTTAAAAGGGGTGATGTACAATAAGATGGTGTGGGGTTCAGAACTGACTTAAAGCAGTTTTATGTTATTTCAAGAAGTTTTATACCATCACAGTGAATTGAGGGGGGTGACTTTTGCTAGATATTGTGCTTGTGTGTCAGCTTGGGGAAAAGAGAATGGAAAATGGTGAAGAAACCTGCAAATTCCAGAGTAATTCTGAAATAGTTTTTAAATATTAATTAATTTTTTTTTAATAACTAACATTCACATTCCCAGGTTTGGAGCAAGTCGCGGAGGTCCTCTTCCTCCAAAGAAATTTGGGAACCCAGGAGAACGCTTGCGTAAGAAAAAATGGGATTTGAATGAACTGCCCAAGTTTGAAAAGAATTTTTATGTGGAACACCCGGAAGTGGCCAGGCTTACCCCAGTAAGTTCTCAGATTCTGTCTGTTCCATGTTACCAACAACAGAAAATGTCACAAGTTGGAATACTTGTCCTAGGAAGTCTGAAACAGCATGTAATAGAACTGCCTCTTCATTAGGTTTATTTGATGCGTGTATTCCATAGGATACCAGTTCTTGTTGCCTTCAGTATTTAACGTTAGCAGAGGTGATGCTTCTGCTCTTTGTTGTTTTTATACAAGACATTCTGTATTTTTGTCATTTGTAACTCATCATCATAATGTTTGTCTGTTCTAGCAATTTGTCTGTGGAGACAAGACTTAAAGAAATGGAGTTACAGTATTGGAGAGGCCTTGAGATGATGTAAAACAGTGAACTAGAAATGGCAGAAATACATGAGAAACGTTTACAATTAATATTTTATCATAGAAATAGTTTAGGCTGAGAGGCCATGGAGAGATCTCTAGTCTAAGCCTCTGCTCAGAGCAGGGCAAACTGCAGGACTAGAGCAGCACCTTGTCCTTTTATGTTTGAATATCCCCGGGGATGGGAAGAATTTACATCCTCTCTGGGTGGCTGTCTCAGGGCTTAATGTTTCTCATGGTATTTCTTTTCCCCTCTAATAATTATCTGCAGCATCTTCTCTACAGCGACCCATTTGGTCGGAAGTGGTTGAAAATAGCAGTTAAACTGAAGGTTGAAAATGGTTGAAAGTAGCAGTTAAAAGGTTGCTGTAAGCCTGCTCTTTCCCAAGCTGAACAAATCCAGCACTCCCAGTCTTTGTTCATACAGCCTGTAGTCCAACCTCCAGCTTTCCCCCTGTAATTGGACATGCCCTGTTAAAACAATGTCCTGTTTACACTGGGGGCTCAAAACTGGGTGCAGTACTTTGTGTTTATTCTGTAGTTACAGTAATCTTCTCTTCCTGTCTGACTTCAGTCTAGGGACTTTTATTCTGTCTGTAATGCATTTTTATAATTAGAAATTTAGAGATTTGTTCTTAACATGAACTAACAGTCATTTTCCCTGGAAGTCATATTCTTTCTTAAACCTTTCATTCAATCTCAAGAGATTCTCACAAGTAGTCAGTCTATTGCTGTGAATAAAGTGCCTGTTACTGATGTGTGTCTCTCTATTGATTTCTAATGAGCATTAGAATAAGGTCATGAATTGTGGAAACATGTTGCAAAAGGCAGTTGAACTTGGAAGATAAAGTGTTTTTTTTTGTCTAGGTTTTCTAATACTAAAATGAGGCTTATTTGGATACACATTTCAGAACTATTACAAGGAGTTCCATTATTTAGAAAAATTGTGAGGTCTTAAGGTATCATTGTGATGTTTGGGCTTCTTTCACGCAGAAGTAAGTGTTGGCTCCAAAAGAATTCCGAGCAACATTTCTGTGTTGCAAGTTGTCCAGCAAGTACACTGTATTTGGCCACCTGTGGAATGTGTTAATTAAAGGAGGACTCTCCTGCTTTCTTTTTGTAGTATATTAGGTGCTGTTTAGTTTGTTTAATTCTTAGCATTGCCACATAAAACATGTTCCTTATCCTCTGTTCACTTTTGAAGCTGTTGGTCATTTCTGGCCTCTGAAAACAGTATAATTCCTAAAAATAAACTGTTAATATACTTTTCATTAAAAAGGGCTGGTTGTAAGAAAACAGAGACAGTAGAGAGCTCATGCCTCTAAATGTTGCAGAAACTGTACGATAACTCAGTCTTAAAATAAAATCTTAAGGAAAGTGATTTTTTTTAGATCTCTGTTTCAATTCAGTTCTCTAACAAAGCTGTTATCCAGAGGTGTGAAGAGAGTTAGCAGTTAGAATCACAATTTAAGTCCCTGCTGACATTTGGCATTTTTCTTTTTTTTTCCCCACCATAAAATAGTATGAAGTTGAAGAATTGCGAAGGAAGAAAGAGATAACAATTCGAGGAATGGAGGGCTGCCCCAAACCAGTGTTTGCCTTCCACCAGTGCAGCTTTCCCCGTAAGTATTTTGCTGTTCATTAAGATCATGAGGATTACTCAGAACACACCTAACAGTTTCTGGGTCTGTTTTCTAAAAGGTCTTGTAAAACCTCAGTAATCTTTTAAAATCTTTTTTCTTTTCTGAAATTCTGAAGAATATGTGATGGATGCCTTGATGGACCAGAACTTCACAGAACCCACTCCAATTCAGTGCCAAGGCTTTCCACTCGCCCTCAGCGGTCGTGATATGGTGGGCATTGCGCAGACTGGCTCTGGGAAGACTCTGGCAGTGCGTATTCTTTCCTTCATTTAACTAACTTTCCTGATCACTTTGCTGGAATTCCCTGTGTGTTAGTGGGTTTTGGGCTTGGCAGTACTACTTGCATGAAGTGAGATGATTATAGGTTTTTTAAGCTTGCTTTATTGCATCATGGGGGAGACTTATATTTCAGCTCAGCTAGCCTGTTGTATTCTCAGGCTGTTGTGACACAGCACTTACATCAGAGGTTATACACACAGTATTTTGTGTGTGTCTTCTGTTTTTGATGCTTAGTCACTTCTCTTTGGTCTATACTTGCCTTGCAGTTTGAAAAACAGGATGTTCTCTTTAATGTGTTTCATTAACTGTGCAAGTTAAAATTCTTCAAGGTATACATTAATTTAAACTGCAGTGCTCAAAAGGATTTTTTTATCCTTTATGTAAAGCAATTTTTTTAGGGCCAAGATAGCTCGCTTTGGCTAACTTAGACTCCAAATTGAAATGAACCTTCCTTTCAGTGGTGCTGAGCAGCTATATTTTGTGCTCATGTCAAAGCAACTATGATTGGTCGACAGCTCTGAAAATCGTGTGCTCTACTAGATAAATGCAAGTATACTTTTTTTGCAGAATCCTGATTTTTAGATATTATGTAATACTGTTTTCTTCTCTTTCAGTACTTGCTGCCTGCAATTGTTCACATCAACCATCAGCCATATTTGGAGAGAGGGGATGGCCCAATCGTAAGTGATTGTTGATTCTCTTCCTTTTTGTGCGTATGGCATGGCATCGTTAATGAGATGTGTGCTTTGTTTAATTGGTGTATCAGCATAGTAAGTGGAAGAATGTTTACCATCGCAATGTGAACATCCCACTCAGTTGAAATTCTGTGCAATTGCTAAAGACTCTGTGCATGTTCTAAAGATATTTAAATGCTTTAGCTAATAAAGAGCAGATGGTCCAGCTTTGCTTATGGTTTTAAGCTAGGGCTGTGTATGCAGCTTGACTGTCCTGAATCAATTCCTTTTGCAGTGTCTCGTTCTAGCACCTACTAGAGAGTTGGCCCAGCAAGTGCAGCAGGTGGCTGATGATTATGGCAAGTGTTCAAGACTGAAGAGTACTTGCATATACGGAGGAGCACCCAAAGGTCCCCAGATCAGAGATCTAGAAAGAGGTAATTTTAAAGTGGTTGTTGGCAGATTCTGTGTTTCTTTTTTTGGTTGTGATTTTTAAATTATTGTTTGGTTTTTTTGATTGTGCTTAAGCGCTAAGCCCTGTTCCTCTTCATATACCCTCTAGTGTTCTGTAACTGCCTTTCTGTGCGTAGCAAGGGACTGGAGTTGGGAATGGTGAGGAACCACGGTTGTGCAGCAGCCACTGTAGCACAGTAGTGCTGAAGTGGCCTAGCCCTCATTTCAAGGGCTAGTTGCATAAAATTTCAAATGCAGGAACATGATGATGGCTTTCATCTTCACCATATTAAAAAAATGTAATAGAACTTGGTGAAAAGATGTAAGAAGTATTACCAATGTAAGCTTATATATACAGATCTATTCAAGAAAACAGAAAATTTGACTTACCACTGCAATTTGCAGAGTCATTGTTGAAAACTGCAGTAATGGAATAAAGGCGTGCATGGTGGAAGTCTGTGGGGTAGCTCTGAGAAAACAATAGTGCATTCCAATTCAAAAGTAGCATCTTAATGGAAGAGTCCAAAGTTACGTAAAGAGTTCTTGGGAGGATCAGCTTGGTGGGTTTTTGCATACATTTCTGAAGTGCTGTAAAATAAGGAAAACCTTTTTTATGCCCCCTGCTTCCCTGAACTTGCCTTCTGTGGACCTTTCAGTAACACTGAAATACTAACCTGAAAGATTTGGGAATTGGTGGAAACCAGACCCTCCTTTTAAGGAATGTGTGAATTGCCAAACCTGGTATTAGTTTATGAATATTTAAACTCTGGTTTTATGCTCACGAATATGGGCAGGATGGTGTTCTTGCACTATTGGTGCACAATTGCTCAGTATTACAGCCCATGCTTTGGCTTTATATATTTTTAAAAGATGTGGAAGTACTTTAACCCATAGAGCTGGAGGAGCACTTCATGTTTGATTAACATGGGGAGTTTAGCTGGAGTTTGCTTTAATTTTTCTAGACACCTCTCTAGACTGCATAATTCTGGATGAAGGTGGGCCAGGATTGAATAGAATTTTATTTTACTTCTGATTTTTGGACAGCTCTTCACTGGTGTTTTTCTGACAGTAAGCTTTTAGCTTCTGTACTGCATTTATTATTCTAATGGCACTGTAACAGTAATTTCAGAATGGAAAAAAATATTAAAAGAAACTAGGGCTTCTACTGAAATGACTCAATCTTGGGTACGAATGAGGGTGGTGCTTTTTTTTTTTTGAAAACAATTTTGCTCTGGAAGGTGATTCATTCTGACTAAAAATACCCGTTGACATTCAAATGAAGAGCCTTACTCTTTTTCCCTATTCTGTTCTGAAGGTGTGGAGATCTGCATTGCTACACCAGGTCGCCTGATTGACTTCCTTGAGGCTGGAAAGACCAACCTTCGTCGGTGTACATACTTGGTGTTGGATGAAGCAGACAGAATGTTGGACATGGGGTTTGAGCCCCAAATTCGTAAAATTGTTGACCAGATCAGGGTACGCTTTTACTGTTGTAAAAGCGCAACCTCCTGTATTTTCCTATTCCAAGCCCAGGACCTTAAATAAATCCACTTTTCTTTTTTCTTAGCCTGACCGACAGACTCTGATGTGGAGTGCCACCTGGCCAAAAGAAGTGCGCCAGCTTGCTGAGGACTTCCTGCAGGACTATGTTCAGATCAATGTGGGAAACTTGGAGCTGAGTGCCAACCACAATATCCTGCAGATAGTGGATGTATGCATGGAAAGTGAGAAAGACCATAAGTAAGCTAATTTTCCTACCATTTTACTTTCTTCAGTTGTACTTAAAAATGCACATTGCTTTGTAAGCCAACTTTAGGTTTCAAATAGTAAAGTACTTGTAATATTATTTAACCTTAGAGTGTTACAAAATAAGTAAGCCCTTTGATTGACTAATCTCTTGTGTATATTCTGACCATACCATTGTACAACCGACTGAAATTCTGTGTGATACTGACTTACGTGAATGTATGTTGTGTATGTCCTCAATGTCAGCTGGGAGAGAGCTCCTGTATTCTGGTACATGTGGACATACATCTTAGTTCTCAATGTCTGTTTTAGACTGATACAACTGATGGAAGAAATCATGGCAGAGAAGGAAAACAAGACTATCATCTTTGTGGAGACGAAGAGGCGATGTGATGATCTCACTCGAAGGATGCGCAGAGATGGGTGATTAGCTCCCTCCCTTTCTCTACTTTTTTCTAGTGGGAAACAGAAATTGTAATCAAAAGCAGTAATGCTTAAGTGTTCATGATGCTATTGTTGGGAACAACTTGTCCATTATTTCCTTGGCTGAATTCAGTCATTGTTTCCCAGAAGATTCCAGTCCATCAAAGCATTAGTGCAAGAGAGAGTATTTGTAAGCAGTGCAGGTTTTTTAGTGTATTGGAATCCTGATATGCTGTTTGGGAGTGTATCAATATGGCAAAAGTGATTTGGCTTAGATGGTTGTTTATGTAGGTAATGGGTTTACAGTACACATGCCGGGTAGATAGAGGTCAAAGGAGGATAGGGAATAAAATATTTCTTAAATCTTACAGTTTTGCATTTTAAACAAAATGCCAGTAAAGCTTCCTGTTGCCTTTAATGTCTATACTTTCTCTCCCTACTAATGTACATTTCTGTTTGGCAGTTGGCCAGCTATGTGTATCCATGGAGACAAGAGTCAACCAGAAAGAGATTGGGTGCTTAATGGTGAGTCCGTAACTGAGGGGAGAATAACTTGGGTTGCTGTACCTAATTTATGGAGACAAATTTCAGTCTTTCTTCAGTCTTTTTTTTTTTATCTCCAGACCCAATAGATGCATTTAAAAGAGCTTCCTTTGTTTTTGTACTCTTAATTTCAGTACTTTGTTTACCTTTGTTTGTTTGTTTGTTTTGACAAAATACAATAGGAAAATTTGTTAACCCAGAGAACTGGAGTTTGAAAAATAATTGAGGTATTATATCATGACTTGCTGGGGTTTCTGGGGTTGACCCATCTTACCTAGCTTCTGGAAAACGAGCATTTAGTGTAAATCAAGTTCAGGTAACTTTATCTTTTTGAAAAATCTTACTTCATAGCATGCTTTGTTTTACAGAGTTTCGTTCTGGAAAGGCTCCTATCCTCATTGCTACCGACGTTGCATCTCGTGGGCTAGGTTTGTACACATAGACCACTCTTGCCTACTGCTGCATATTTTTCTTCTTTGGACTGAAAAATGTTTTCTTTAAAAAAAAAAAAAATTCAAAGCGTGATTTTCCCCCACATGTGAAATACGTTTTTTAACATTAATCTTTTTTTTTTCTTTCATATTCAAAGTCTCTTCCTGCTCCTAATGAACAGGCTTTGGTCTGCAGCAAGGCCTAGGCATGACCAATCGATCGCCAAGAGGGAGAAGAGACGTCCAATTATGCAACCCAACCCTTCCACCACACTCACTTCTTCCCCAAATCCAGCTTTTGTTGCTGGATAGTAGGGATGGATTGCTCTCAGTTCAGAGCGTGTCAGATAAAGTTCAAGTAGGAAGTTGTGGGAGAGCATTTTGACAGCAAATAGCTAATATTCTCCCCGTATGACACACCACAGATTTGAACATACCAACCCCAGTGTACATGCATGTTTTACCCTGCAGATGTATTCACATCTGAGAAAGCACTGCTCCAGATCTTTGGTCTTGACATGTAACCTTCCCTCCTCTGTGTTCCTTCTAGGCGGGACCACTGAGATGATATATGGCCTTTAACAGATGTGTAACTGAATCATAATAGCACAGCTCTATTCTGGTGGTATGAAAATGATCTGTCTGGATGCATCAGTTGTGCCCCCTTTTAAAATAAGCATGTTTGTATTGTGAAACACGGTGTGCTGAGCACAGTCCTTATACATCTGCCCACACAGAAGACGAGGATGGCTTCTGAAGTGCTCCGAGTTTTAATAACAGACATTGAATACTCTGCCCACTCTGGGTTTGGTAGAGGATAAACTACTTGGGGATCAATGTCTCATTGTAGTAAATTTTATACAGAATTACTGCAAATCAGTGCAGATTAACTCGGAGAATCTAGATTGTTAAAAGCCTCAGTTACCTGAGCGTTCTTCATGTGCTGAAAGGGTGGCTGTGCTGTGCATCATATGGTCACTTTAATACAGGCAGACCACTACTTAGACTTGGCAGCCTTTGTTCACACAACCTTCACCCCTCCTTCCCCTCCCCCCTCAAAAACATCCAGCACTTCCTCAGGAAGTGATTAAATGGACTTCAGTCTCTGCCCTCTAGGGTCATGTCTGGACCTGTGCAGTTAGAACTTGGGCCTGTTGGGAGAAGGGACTGAGGCCTGAAACCAGTTTGTATGAAAGAGAGCTGCTTTCTCTAGCAGCATTTTTTAAACAGGCTTGCTATGTGCTGGTAGCTTCTTTGTGCATCTTGCCTAGACATTTAAAACAGCCTCACCCCCCTCAAAAAAACCCAAACCGCTCCCCCCAAAACGACTCAATTGGATAACACTTCAGAAAACAGTCTTCCCACTTCCCATCCTCCACTTCACCTGAGCGAAGGGGGAAAGGTCTCAGTCTGTTTCTTGTTACTGAACAACATCTCTGCTTGTTTTGGGGCCCTGAGTTTGCTGCTTAAAATAAGTCACTTAACTGGCAAACTTCTGGACGACTTCCTCCAAGATCCTGGAAAGTGAAGGCTTCTACCTAAATAACATAAAACAGGGGCGCGCGCCTTTTGGCTGAGTCACCAGGGCTTTCCCTCTTCCTAATGGAACATTGATTTCAAAAAAGCTTCTTCCAGGTAAGTTCTGAGTCCCATAATAACTTCTTTGTGATAATTCCCTGGAGTGAGGTCCTCTCTCTGCACTGATTTTTTTTTTTTAATTTATTTTTACTTTTTTTTTGTTCAGTCTATTAAACTAAAAACATTGAATTTGTTTTGTTTTGTTTTCTTTAACAGAAGCTTTGATATCAGCTGCAGATCATTCTCAGTGCAGGGGTGGGGGCACATCTACAGTGATGGTCTAAACAGCTTTCTAGACTAGCATGTTTGCTAGTTTATGTCTGTCCCAGTTAATAATTGGAGACTGTCTGTGCCATAGGGTGTTCTGATGGTCTGACAAAGAGAATGTTTCTGAGGTAGCTGTCAAAAATGATTTACAGTCTCAGTTCTTGATCCTGCTGCATTATCTTGTAAAAGTGCAGGAAGATTGTGAGTGTGTGCAAACAGTTTGGAGCACGCTTGACTGGAGAAGCCAAGTCTTGTACGTGCTCTGGTCTTTTCTTCAGTGAGCTGTGTGTGCTCTACCAGGACCACTTTCTAGTCTGGAAAACACCCTTGCATCTTCCTCTTCCTGCCTTCCCATTCTTCCTGCTCCTCCCCAGTCAAGTCAGTTCTGTCTACATTGGTAGCTACAATTCCCCGTGCTTTCTGTCGGGAAAGCACGCCCTTGTATCCTCTCTGGTAATTGAAGTCACTTGCTACTGGATGTGCAAAATGGGACTGACTGAGGACCGTGTAGCCGGGAGCTTGTCAGTCTAGTTACACTCTGGCTGTGAAGATGCAATCTGTCACAAGTGCTCCTCTCTTTACTTCACTTTCCTTTTTTAAAAAAACCTGTTGCATCAAGGACCCTAGCTGGAGACTCGCGCAGCCCCCTGTGAAACCTGCCTTCTCACTCCCTTTTTTTGGTGTGATTCAGGACTTTGGAGTCAGCAAAGACTGAGGAGCCCCCCCCTTTGCTGTAATAAGAAACAGACATAAAGTCCCCCTCTTGTAACTACAACCCTCATGTTTTTATTTTTCCTACAACCCCTTTGAAATTGATGCAGTCTGGGCAATAGATGCAGTCTGACCCTTTGGATGTAATTTTTGTATCTTCATTTTTTTGACAATTGCCCCTAAGAACCCCAAATAGGGGACAAAAAGCGTTGGAGGACCTGAAACTTACCTGAACCCAGGTTCTCTGGCGCTTCACAACCAAATGGGGCTACAGAGAAGCGTCTAAGCCAGTTCACAGAGCGAGCGTGTGTGGGGACTTCTCGCTGCAACGGACCCTTGATGCATGCTCCCCGCGCTCCAGTGGTCCCGTGTCAGAGGGCGGAGTTTTCGAAAGGAGGCCGCCAAAAATAAAAGGCAAAGAGACGGGATCGGCTGCAGCGGTTTCCCACAGGAGGAGGGAGTGTGCATCGGTCTGGTAACAAACAGAGAATGTTTCTCTCTTTAAAACCAAAAAAAAAAAAAGAAAAGGAAAGGAAATCAAAAAAATCTGTGTTTTATCTTGGATATTTTCAGAATATTCTTGTTAAAATGCAGATTTTAATTTTTTTTTTTTTTATGAGCTGTTAGGGCACTTACTGTAAAACTGCATTTGAAAATAATTGTATACTACAGTAAATAGGTGCTTTTGTTACCTAAGGTGCTTTCACTGAAGCGTTACACTAACATTCGCTTGGTTTCTGTCCCACAAGTTTACAAAGTCTTGTCTTTTTGTAAAGCGCACAATTCTGATCTCCCAAATTTTAATACTATTTTGCATACAAAGCCATTTTGATCGTTTTGTTTCCTGCTTCCATCTGACGCTGGAAGAAGGGAATTGCTAACGGAATTCAGGATTGTCCAAATTATGCAAGCTTGCCAGAACTGGACAGAGCAGCACAGTGAAATGTTAGTGCAATGTGTTCTGGTGATAACTACAAAGCTGAGTTAAGGTATTGTAGGTCTGCATAATTTTTAATGAGTTGGCTGAATAATACTAATGTAATTGGAGTGTCTTAAGCTTTAGGTTAGGGAAATTAGTTCACTGTATTTTATTAGGACTGTAAAAGTAAATATTTTAAGATTGCCTTTTATTTCATGTTACCGAGTGGAAGGTAAGTGATCTCATTACCGTTATTTTTTGTTAGACTTCTCCCAACAGAGTAAAAGCTTTACCATGGCAGTTCTGCCCTTCCTCCACCCCAGTTTGCTCTGTCTGTTGGTGACATTTTCACTTTACAGATTGTGTTTAAAAAGAAAAACAAACCCAAAATTCAATCAGCTTATTCACAAACACTGATGTCTTTGATACAGGAAGACAGAGAAATGCATTCTGGGGAGGATAACTTTGAGTGCAGGGCAAAGCTGCTTTAAAATTATGACTCTCTTTCAGGACATTGACCTTTCTTCCTGATGGTCTTAAGTTTGAGTCTTCTACTCTTTTGGGATGAGTCTGTCTTGTATTTATTCCATGCAATTACTAACTTTGCATTTTTTTTTTCTTATTACTGTCACCTGCATTCGTGCTCCCCACCTTTCGTTGGCACGTCCTCTCTTCTTCTCCCCTTTCCTCAACCCCACCCCTTCACTGTGCTTCGCTCCTGGGCACTTCACAAGATGTGGAAGATGTTAAATTTGTGATAAACTACGACTATCCGAACAGCTCCGAAGATTACGTGCACCGTATTGGCCGTACCGCACGTAGTACCAACAAAGGTACTGCCTACACCTTCTTCACACCAGGAAACCTGAAACAAGCCAGGGAGCTTATCAAAGTGTTGGAAGAAGCTAATCAAGCCATCAATCCAAAGCTGATGCAGCTTGTGGACCACAGAGGAGGAGGAGGTGGTGGTGGAGGTAAAGGCATATGGGAGAAGGGCCACGCAGGGAATAGGTTCCCCATATTTGAGGGAGGGAAGATAAAAAAAGGGTAGGGAAGTATTAAGTGCAAGTCTAAGCAAACAGATTAGTAAGCTGTTCTGTACTCGAGGTCACAACATGTTATCTAGATGTAGTACATCTACATGGTGTCCCAACAGAGAGGCAGTCCCCTGTTTTACCTGACCTGTAGAATTTTTTTTTTTATTTTTCCTCCTGATAAGGTCATAACAGGGCTGATTTAGTTTGAAGTAAGTAATTCCTTACAGCTCCTGCCTAAGGACTCGCAACACTGTGCATGTGGATGCGTATGCAAAATTGAAATCAGGCAAGGGATACACTGACTTATCTTCAGGGACTGAGACTATTTTTGCTCCCATTCCTTGAAGGATTAACAAGTTACCTTATATTTCAAAGTAAGCCCTGAATTTATTTAACTTCTTTTGTCTCCAAGCATGTGCATAAAGAATCCTTGTTGAACCTCATGTATACACCTTGAACAAAATGACAGGACGTATGCACAGCTGTGCAGGGAAGTTATAGTCAAAAGAACTTGCTCCTTATGGGCAAAATTGGGGATGTAGAAGGGGAGAAACGGGGGCGCAGTTGTACCGGAATTCATTGTTTAAGAGTTGTTCATGGTACTAAATCTTAATATATCCATCGCCAGGAGGTCGTTCTCGTTACCGAACGAGCAGTTCAGTAAACAACCCTAACCTGATGTACCAGGAAGAGTGTGACAGGAGGCTCCGGGGAGTGAAAGAGGGCCGGAGAGACTCAGGTGGCTTCAGAGACCGTGAGCGTGCTGACAGTTACGCCAACGGAGCCAACAAGACCTATGGCAGTGCCTACGGGAGCCCAAATTCTGCTTTTGGGGCAGCACAGAGCCAGTATGGTTACACTCAAGGGAGCTATGGAGCAGCTGCCTATGGCACGAGTGGCTATGGCACTGCAGAGTACAGTGCTAGTGGCTATGGTGCCAGCACCACAGCTGCCACCGCTGGGAGAACCTCACAGAGCACTACCCAACAGCAGTATGCAGGGATGGTGGGGCGCTCAGGCCAGCAGCCACAGCCGCTCATGTCACAACAGTTTCCGCAGCCCCCTGCCACTAACGTGATGGGCTATATGGGACAGACTGCCACCTACCAGTACCCACCCCCTCCCCCACCCCCGCCCCCCTCCCGCAAATGAGACCACTTGGTGACCAGTGTAGGCCTCTTGCATTTAAAGGAACCTTTTCTTTCTCTTCTTTCCCATTGTGATGTCTCTCATGCAGGTTAGACTTAGAATTCACCATTCAAATCCCTTGAGCCCATCAAAAATGGCCCCCAGTCCACATTAATGACCCTGTCCTCTTTGGGGTTTTTTTTCCTTTTTTTTTTTTTTTTTTAAGAGATATATATAGTTGACTGGAAAATTTATTATTTTTATCTTGCATGTTGATGCATTTGGAAATTTTATTTTCTCTAGAGGAAATGGGTATAAGGCAGATAGGTCCCAGCTCGATCATCTTGGTGTCTAAGGTTTGTGTGAAAACTTGCTTTTGAGAGGAAGAAGTTTCTCTTCTGTAACACATAATTTCAGGAAGTATCAAGAGAGGTGGGAAACTTTGGGGAGCCAAAAAGCACTTCATTTAAAATATAAATGCAAGGGAGCAATGCTCACGTCTCCTAATCTTATTTTTTTTAAGTAGCTCACTATTATTGCTTGTAATCTTATCGTAGATGATTTTCTATAGGAAAACTCTGCTCATTTGTCTGAGCTGGCAGTGTTCAGAGTAATGCCTTTGCTGTTGGCATTTTCTGCAGCTCTGGAAGCCCCATCTTCTCATACCTGTAGCAGCCAGCAGTAGGGAGGTTGGAATTAAAAATCCAGTGTCTGAGACCAAACCTGCCTTGGATTTGATACCTGAAAACCTGATAGTTGCTGTGGGTACCACTGCTAAAATAGTCAAGTAAGTTCTTTCGTGCGGAGCCTGGTTATTGTTAAATTAGTTTCTGCTCTTAAATTCCTGGTTTTGGGTTTATTGAGAGAAGTCTTACTTGAGAGCCTGGAAACTAAACAAATGATGAACAACAGATCTTGTTCATCTGTCCTTCACTCCCTCCCTTTTGCAGTGGGGAATGTTCTGAATGCCACTACGCTCAACAAAATGTGACAGAGTTTTCCGCACTTGAATTTAAGAGGCTTGAATAGAGTGGGCTGGGTGGGAGGGCAAGGTGGGGAGGAAGAGAGGAGGAGGAGATTGACTGGGATCTCCTTTCCATGAGGTAAGCAGTGAGCTGGTTAGTGCATCTTGATTCTGAAGCTTTATTTCTTTTGTACCTTGCTCTGACTATTGCTTTCTTTGGCTTTTGAGTGCATTTCCCTGCTCCGTTGGTCCCTTTGAGCTGAGCTCTTGCAGGTAGGTAGTATTTTAGAAAATGTTAGAGAAGAGTGAAATTTTAGTAAATACGTAAATAAAACTTGTTTATTTTACAGGATAAGGTGGGTGTGAGGGGGCTTCCCCTCTTTAGTAAAGCATGTTGTTGACTTGTTATTTCTAATACCAGACGGTTCAGAGACAGTAGATGATCACAGGAGTTGGCTGCTCTTGATCTGATAATATGACAAAAGAATGGATACATCTCCTGGTTTGAGGCATGCTTGTTGCATTATGAGAGTGCAGGGGGTTGTGGGTTTTTTCTGTTGGCGTTCTTGCATATGGGTGAACAAGGCAGCCCACTCCTTCTGTAGCAGAGTGGAACTTCTTTTAGCCCTGGGAAAGAGCTTGCTTATACATAAATGATTTCTTTTTAATTTTAATTTCTTCCCAGAGTAAAATTTTGTGGGTTGAATGTGCTTCTTTTTTTTTTTTTTTTTTTTTTTTTTTTTTTTTTTTTTTTTTTTTTTTTTTTTTTTTTTTTTTTTTTTTTTTTTTTTTTGAGTGCAGTACACAGGTAGGTTGCTGACAGGGAGAAGGGAGGGATCTTCCAGAACCTCAGTTCCCTCATCATGTTTTATAATTCCAGTGCATGGGCAGGAAGTTCCTTTGCTTGTGTTAAGTGAAAGCCAGAAACATTTTCTATATCCAGGCACTCTCTGATTTTTCTTTGGCCTCCCTCACAAGCAAATGTAGAGCTTTATATTTTAATTTCTTTGTTTTAAATTTGAGAGTTGAATGCAGAAATGTGTTTGAGGGGTGTAGGAGTAGAACTGACTTTCAAAAGGGTCTCTGGACTGCCAAAGCTGCCTTACAGTCTGTTAGAGCTTTCACTTCTTTTGGGGAGGACTTGTGCACATGTAAACATCAGTGCCAAGTCTTGCTTTATTGCCACTGAGGTCAGCTGAAGTCCAGGGTCTCGGTTCAGTTCAGAGTGTCAACCAGACTGTTGAGTGCATAAATGCACTGTGGCATGTGCTGCCCCTGTCCCACCTGGTGCTCGCTGCTCTGTTCCATATACCAGCTGGAGGGCCCTTGTCGATAAAGCATTAGTCTCTAGTGTTGTTTGCATTGTTTTCAATCTGTAAAAAGTTTGTGGGAGTGTCAGATGAGTTGGGTGTCTCCTCCCCTCCCACTTCCTGAAGCAATTTACTGTTTGGACTTCTCTGAACAATGGAAGGGTTAGTGGCTTTGTGTGGGATCAGCATCTTGTTTCACACACCTGCTGGTCTCTGAACACATTCCTGTTGTATTAATGAAGACTTGAATTGAGAGATTCATAGATCTGTGGTGTTCAGGCACAGGATACTAAGAGCTATGTTACTATTCTTAGTTTGTAAATTGTCCTTTTGATACCATCTTGTTTTCTTTTGTAGGTATAAATAAAAACACTGTTGTCAATAAATTGTGAACTTTGTCTTTATTTGTGAAATGTAAAGCCATCTTTGCCCCTCTTCTTCCCAGTTCTTTAAGTCAAATTCAAGGAGATGGAAACACCTCTTGGCAACCCACTGAATTTTAATTGAAATCGTCCCCATCTGTAGGATATGAGGAACTGAAAGTGAGTGAGTGGGGAGGATCTTTGAATACTTGTGGAACTGGAAGATTCATGTTATTCAAAGGGAATGTGTTTTTTTTTTTTTAATGTTACAGGACCTGAATAGGGAGACGGTCAAGCAGAGTTAATTTAGAAGAAGGTGTTAGTTCATATGGAGTTAAAGTAAGAGGTTGTATCATCTGCTGTGTCAGATGTGGCCAGCTGTGAAATAGGTCAGTGGCTTTTGTCTGTGCTATCAGACTTAATAGTACCATGGTCCCTTTACCATGGGGACTTGCCAAAGGACTAAAGGGAATAACAAATTCCCTTATACTCCTTGTACTACCTCATGTTCAAGGTAGAGGTGTGTTTTGGAGGTAGATGCTGGGAAGAACCAGGAGAGAATAATTTGCACTGCTTCAGTATTGGCCAGCACTACTTAGACTAGCACCAAATTCAAGTGAGAAGAAATAAAAAAATGGAGGGGAAGAGTCTTGTGGATGAAAAGCATTTCAGCTTTCCAAGCCTCGTCTTCCTGGCACTGGGTTGAAAGTTGGCTGAGCCATCCATTAGTCAAAAAAGGCCAGGAAAGGAAAGCTGTGATTTTAAAAAGCTTCATCTTCAAAATTTCTTGCGTTGTCTGTGGAATATCTTCAAACAGGCATGGGGAGGCTTAGCTTCTTTCCCTTTAGGACTGTGCAAAGACAAAAGGTAATGAATGAACTTTGGAGAATTTGACTGTTTTATTGTTTCAACAATTTTATTTTTTCTAAATTGCTGTTAAGAGCATAGGGTCGTGGGGGGCCAGCTTTGCAAACTGCAAACGGGAGTCAACCACTACAAAATCGCTGCTAAGAGCAGAAACTCCACAAGCTAGTTATTCTCCTTTATGCTGAAGGAAAAGGTTCCTGTTTTCTCTTCCATGGTTACTTGCTCTCCCATATGGACCTTTTAATTTTTTTTCTAATGATGTGCTATCCTTAGTGCTTTCTCCTTTTGATAGGAGAAAAATGACCTGAATAAATGGTCTGTGGCCAGGCCCCCCTGAGCCTGCCCCATCCTGTCTGATCTGAAACTTGGGATGGCAGGGATGCCTGTGGTGGGGGTGCATGGAGCGGCAGCTGCCCTGGATGCGTGGTGGTGGGCAGGGCACAGGGGCTGTCAGCCTGGTACAGGGGTGGGTGCTGGGACCTGTCTGCTGGGTACCAGAGGGAAGGGCAGTAATGTGCTGAAAATGGACCTCAGAGGGCAGTGAGCGCCTGATGCAGCAGGTGGGGCCACAGGGACTGTGCCAGGCTGGAGAAATGGGCTGGGGGGAACTTGTGAGGGTTGGTGAATGCAAATAGATGTCCTGCCCCTGGGGCGGAACAACCCCAGGCACTAGAATATGCTGGGGGCTGCCGAGCTGGAAGGGGGCTTGGCAGAAAAGGCCCTGGTGTGTGCTGGTGGACACCAAGTTGAACAGGAGCCACCAGTGTGCCCTTGTGGCAAAGAAGCTGCAGGGCTAGTGCGGGGGGGTCCTGTCTGTCTCAGCCTTGGGGAGACCACAGCTGCAGTGGTGGGTTCAGCTCTGGACTCCCAGAACAAGAGACAAGGACATACTGGAGCAAGTCACAAAGGACTACAGGAGCACCTCATGTAAGAGCGCAGGCTGCAAGCTGAGGCTGTTAAGCCTTGAGAAGGCTGAGAGGGATGTCACCCATGTGTACAAATGCCTGATGGAACAATAAAGGAGACAAATTCAGACTCTGCTGAGTGGTGCCCAGTGACAGGGCATGGGGCAATGGGAAATTCCACTTTTAACATCAGAAAATAACATTTTATGGAGGGTGGTCAGACATCAGCACAGGTTGCCCAGAGAGGCTGCATCCTGTGCATAATCAAAACCTGATGGGACAGGACCTTGAACAATGTGCTGTGAGTGGGGGCATGAGTTAGATGATTCCCCCTCTCCTTCCCCTGTCTGTTTCCAACCCCGGCCATTCAGTGAAATACAAGCTTTGGGGTGCTGAAAGCTTCCTCGGGATATCTTTCATGTCCTTGTGTTAAACAGAAAGGAGCTCATCTAGTTTTGAAAACAAGATAAAAAGAAGTAGCGTTCTATAAAAATCCCTTTGCAATGCTTTGGTATAGGCTCTGAAGTCTTATTTAATACATTTCTTTATATAATGCCTTTTTTTTTTTCTTTAGCATTGCTACCCTTTTGTCTGAGTTCTTCAGTGTTAGAAATGTTTTGAAAAGTTGGGGTTTTTGAAGGAATGCAAGAGAGACGCAACCTGCTATAATATTGCTGGCTCTCATAAATGACTGCTAAGCATTTGCATATCTTCAGACACTATTTCTCTCCCATGATCCAGAACACTTGTGTAAAAGAAAAGAGGGGGAAAAAAGCAATTCTCTTCCTGCTGTGATGTTCCAGGGACAAGTGTTTTTTCTTCTGCCTCCTGTATCATCTAAATTTTGCAGCTCTGTCACTAGCAGTGTGAGACTGAAAGCTAGCAGTTGTGGTTTTTTCCCCCTTTTGTTCCACCATCACAACTACAAAGGGTATCGATTTCTTACAATAATACAAAAGGACACATGAATGGAGCGAAGCTAAAATGGGAATTAGTTTAGAAAAGGGAAAAAAAAAAAAAGGAATTGACGTGGAGCACCTTGATGGCAGTTTTACAAAGTAATTTTCTGGCAACAAAAATACTGAATGACAGAAGGAAGTCTTAATCTGCCAAGGCCAACCACCTGCTCAGTGCTCCTGTCACCTCTCTATCGGCAGGCACAGTGCATGAAGCTACCAAAAATCCATCCCTTGAAACATCAAACACAGGCCATCACTACTGCTTTTGGCAGACTAGAAAATGATTGTCCACTCAGGCAATTTCATCTAATTCTGTCCTCAACAGAAAGGTGTTTTAAAGTGTGCTTCAGCCTCAGCAAACCACAGTGTGTTCTACCAGGATTTATGCCCTTGGTGCCCTTGTTAGCTCTGGTATGTACCAAAACATGGCACTGAAATGGAAGGGGCATCTGATTTTGGAAAGTGTCTCTTCTGTGCAGATGCCCATCTTCCTACAGAATTAGTTCTTGACAATGTTACATCTTTCCCATCAAAGGAAAAGTAGGCTTAATAATATCTCCATATGTCTGCAGTTGCCTTCTCAGGTACATTGTCTGCCTGCAGCTATTTTTTCCGCCTCAAAGTTTTTCTTTTTTTCCTTTTTTTTTTTCCTTTTTTTTTTTTTTCTTTTGGGTGATTCATAATCTTTCAGAATGGATGTAGAATTGAAATGTACCTCAGTTGTTAACTTCCCAAGGTTGGGTTAAACTAGTCTTAGCTCTGGTTTAATTTCTGCTATGTTTCACAGGCACTTTTAGAGCTTTGTGAGCAGTGATGTCCACTTGCATTCAACAAATAGGTTTTTCAAAGTGGAGTTGAGGTGCACCGTGTACATCACAAATACAGCAAAGAATGAAGTCATGCAAGGATTGACGTGTGGCAAGCTGCAGCTCCACCGTGCATTGCAAGAGTGTTGAATGAACATTTTAGATTCATACCAACCTATTTACCTACCTTTGGTGACGTAGAGATAGAAGAAGTCACAGTAGAAGATGGTTTGTACCACCCCGGAAACTACAGCGATCTGGTCATAGAAATTCTCTGTGTGGTAACGCCAGACCCAGTTGGCAATGTAGAGAGCGCGGTAGAGGCCCAGGAAGAAAAGGTAGTGCGTCGTGATGGTCTCTGCTTCCCCTGTCTTGCTGATCATGAAGAGCTGAGGAAGGATAGCCACGGACTCCAGGTAGATGGAGAAGGTCCAGAGTATCTGTGAGGTGCAAAATGAAGGCGGTGGGGAGTCGGTGCTGGTTAACACGTGTTAAGACCCAAAGCTTTTCCTTTGGCAAAGCACTGATGTGTGAGTGGTATGAGTAGTGCTGCTGAAGTTGGGGGAAAATGAGCCTGCTGTGCTGGGACTGAGAGGAGACAGCGCTGAGCATCTTCAAGGCCTGCCAACTTTGCCCTTCCTGCCTGCTTTTACTGTTAAAAATCTCAGTTATTTAACATGGTTCTCTCTCTGCTGCCTGGTGTCAGGCTGCTGCCTCCCCTCCCTTCTCCTGCCTCAGCTTTTCCTTACCTCCAAGGGGGTGAAGCTGTGGTTCTCCAGAAATGACAGGCCTGTGACAGGGACCAGCAAGAACTCGAGGCGAAAAGAGTCATTCTCGCTGTCGAATGTTTTCCGGAATTTCACATAGATCATGTACACGGTGACATAGGCACATATCAAAAAAATGACCTGCAGGAGAGAAGGGAGATGGCAAGACCTCACCTGCAATTGCACCTTCCGTGCTTAGAGGAGGGCTTTGCCGAAGACCTGTAAACCTGGTTCTAGTGTGGCTGTGCCAGGGTGAGATAGTAGTGAATGCTTTTCCTATGCTGGCTTATGGATTGACTTTTGCTGGAGATACTCCAGTGGTCAAGTAAAGCTTGCCCCACCATGCAGACCACACTTGTTTGAGTCCCTCTGGGGCTCTGTGTGAAGAGGTTGGCTTGGTAGCAGCCTTCTGTTAACATTCCTGCTGTGCAAGGACAGCCAGGCTTGGTTCACAGCATCTCATTCTAGTTTTAGTGGTACTAAATGTGGCTCAGCTCCCCCACTGACTCTGGTGAGGGATTTTTTTTGTCAGTGGAGGGCCAGTGACACCAAAGGAAGCATCTTTACACCCTCTTCCTGGCTGAAAAATTCACTTAATGACCATGTGCCCTCACCTCCCTGAAAAACCATGGCGAGCTGAGGGGAATCTCTGCTGCTGCACTGCCCTCTCCTTACCTTCATCACAGTGTTATAGACAGAGATGAAGTTTGTGAATAGGTCCAGATAGCGGGTTGTGAAGACAAGGGCAAAAAGAATCTGACTCTTCCCGGAGATTCCTACATGGCAGGGAGACAAAAGGAAGGTAAAGCAGATGAAGGGAAGGACCCATAGGGTCCCCTTAAACCTTCTTTGGAATATATGTATTTATGCATGTTGTTTTGTGAGCCAGGTCTGGTGTCCAGATGCTGATGTAGCTTGAGTCCTACCCCAGGACTGAGTGGAGTCTCCCAAGTAACAGGACAGGCTCCTGCTGATGCCACTGAGCTGTGCTTGTAGGGACTGGTGCCCAGTGGTCATGTCACTGCTTTGGCCAATTTGGTCCTTACTGTCACCAAAAGACCTTTCTCCTCCCTCCTTTCCCCCTTTGCTGCCTACCTCACCAGGGACTGTGTGATGTGACATCTGACATTGGAGGGAAGAGGTGTGGGACCAGCCCAGGGACGCTGCTGGAGCTTGGTCACTGCTGGCAGGGAGATGCAGTCAGGCCCACCTATTTCTCTACCAGCGATAATGGTCACAGCCCCAGCAGCCCAGCCCCAAAATCTATCACTAGGGAAACTATGAACTCAGCAAAATCCTCCTGCAGCTTTACCTCCGGGTTGTTGGTGTTGGTGCTGCCACAACTTCTTACTCTTATTTTCCACCTCCCTCTGGCCTTGCTGCCCTCCCCTTCACTTTACCACCCCAAGACCAACACCTGCCTGAGGCTGTGTGCCTTGCCACATCACATCCTTCCAACACAGCACTCTCCTTCTGCCAGGGACACCTTCCAGAGGAGGAGGATGACTTCCCTGCGAGAGCCCAGTGGGGAGGGCTTCCAGTTTGTGTGGGCTATCACTACTCTTTCCAGCACCCATTTTGCTTGCACACTTCATCAAGCTACCCTCCAAGAAAGACCACCCTCCTTCCCTGGGGCATGGGAGCACTCACCGGCACAGGACTTGGACTTCAGGATCTTCAGCAGGAGAATAATGATGGCCAGCAAGTGGGAGATATCCCCCAGGATGCGGAAGATGTTCATGGTGCCGGCGGGGGCTCCTCTGTGGTGACGGGAATGTGGCGCTTTCTGCAGGCGAGGAAGGCGAGGACAGGGAGTTTTTCTTCCTTGAGCCTCAACTGAGTGAACGGTCTCCTCCGGCTCAACTTTCCTTTTTTCCCTGAGCACAGAGCCCTCCCTTCTTGTGGAACAAAGTTCAGGCTCTCCTCTTCCCTGGTTGTGGGTGCCTTTCCCCTTCCAGGCTGGATGTCTGCCTTATTTACTTTTCCACCAAGGTGGATTTTCCCTCTCCCGTTCTAGGGCCTTCCTCTCCCTGCTTTAGGCTGAAAGTTGGGCTTTGTCCCCTGGAGAGCCCCAGGCTGAGCAGCCCTGAAGCCAGCGCTGGGTGACGGTGACGTGGCTCCTGGCTGGCCGGGGAGGAGAGAGAGGAGGAGGCAGAGGCGGGAATAACTGCGCTATTTCTCCCTTTTTCTTTTTTTTCTTTCCTCTTTTTTCTTCCCCAGCCTGTCTCAAGTTACATACGGAAGTGTGGTTAAAGGGGAAAAGGCAGAGGGAACGGGATTCCCATCTTCTGGCCTTGAGGACACACCCTCCTGCGAGGGCCAGGCTTCCCAGGGAAGTTCACCACGGGTGCATTAACCTCTGTCCTGCTCCCAGCCGGCAGCCTTCTGCCCTCTGCCCTTGCTGACCCCAGCACCTTCTCCCCAGTGCTCCACCTTGTCTCCCCGAGCAAAAGAAGAAGTGGGGAGAGATTTGAATTACCAAGCCAGTGCAGCTCTTCCACGGCAGTTCATGCACAGGCATTGCCTGGTGACTGGCCCAGCAGGAAACCCTGCCTTCAGGTGCTCCATCTGGAGCAGTGTGGATCCCAGACCCCAACCCAGGAGGAAGGTAAAGATCCTCCCAAGGGCTGGTTTGAAACAAACTTCACTGAAAATATTAATCCTGGATTCCTGCAAGTGCGTTACAAACAAAGTAGTTCATGTGTTGAGTGAAAGAAGTGCATGGGTGCTGCTGGTTTTGTAGATTTCACAGAAAGGAGCTCAGTAGTGACTGTTCGAAAGTTCTAATATATTTGAAAACAGCTCTGGCTGACCAGCCTGGTTCAGATAAACCTTGTCCTTGGAGAAGTGGTTACACAGGGAGATCTCATGGTGGCAGTGGGTGGACCTCTGCATCAAGAGCCAGCAATTAGATATTCAATATCTAATCAATTTGTTTTAGGTGCCTTAATTTTTAAAATATAGTATAAATAAATGTAATAAATAAATTAAATAAATGTATTTAACTTTATATTAAGTTACTTTAATACAAGCAAATGGATGTTTCAATTTGTCACCTCATCCCTGAGCAAATCACTGGCTGTAGTTCTAATTTGGTTACCCTTGGGTTGTGTGATCCTACCTGCTCTTGCCCCAGAGTTGGCTCTGGCTGCCGCCCTCCCTGTCTCCAGCCATCACCCATGGCTGTCTCCTACACATATCTCTCTGTCCTTATGAACTTGCTTGGAGTAAAATCCTTAAAGATTAAAGTGTAAAAATATTATTCCTGGTGCTTTCTGAGACGATTAACAAGCCTATTAGCATCACCGGATCCCTTTCTGAATATATTTGCATATATTTCCTCCCTGCCCATTAGGCTGGCAGTTGTGTTTTCCCTCTCTGACGCTCCAGCACCTGCATCATCGGGCTTTTCCAGATGGATTCACTGGCTGTGTTGGAAAACACCTGCTCAGCTCCATGAAACTGGGGATGGCCCTGCCAGGGCACCGAAGCAGAGGTTAGTGCAGTGGGAAAAGAGCGGGAGAAGGCCAAAGGAGAGCACTGGCAAAGGAGTAACAGGGTAGGGCCTGGCTGAAATTGGGTTTCCAGGCATCAGAGCGGTGCTGCCTGGGATTTCAGCAGGGCCATGTGGGTGCTGGTGAAAGCCAAGCCCCAGCTGTGGTGGCCCTGCAGGGCCCTAGTATCCCAGATCCTTTTGCAGGTGGGCAAAGAGAGGTCTGAGCCATGGAGCAGGGATGGAAGGTTTAGGGGAAGGAACAGATTTGGGATCTTCTCTTCCAGCTGATTTCCTTCCAAGCCTCTGGAGTGCAATGTCTGAGAGCCCTCGTCTTTCTCTTGTCCCTGCACTGCTCTTTGCAGCTTCTTGTCTCACGGGGCAAAGAAGCCCCCTGCAGAGGGGTAACGTTGTGGGTGGCAAAGGTTTATGCTCTTAATCTTGCACCTTCCCAAGAAAAACTGATCAGCTCCAAGTCCCAGCATTATCTTCTGCTGTGGCAGCAGGAATCACCAGCTGAGGTGACCATCAGAGGATCTTCCTGGGAGCAGCCCAATTGAGCTCACCCAGCTGGGACGTGGTGGTGGGGCCGGGGTCTCCCCATGGGACATCCCTGCGTGGCACCCATGAGGGCCATGGGAAAGTTACCAGGAGGCCAAGGGGCAGCCAGGCCCTAAGAGATGAAGTATTGGGCACATGAAGTGGGAACAAGTAAAAATAAACCTTCCCTCCTCCCTCCCTGCCACAACACAAAGTGCCTTGTGCTGGGTGTCTCCCTGCCTCCCGAAATAATGCCGGGTGCTGCCACCACCCTGCACGGCGATGCTCTCTCCATGCCTCCCGTTTCCATGGTGACCACAAGGAATGTCGCCAGGGTGACAGGGAGGCAAGTGAGCTGGGATTTGGCATTAAAACCAAGAATTTGGGGTTGTTGGGTTTATTTTTCTTCCCCCTCTCCCCCTTCCCCTTTAGTTCTATTTTTGGGGTTTCCCTCTCTGCTAGTCTGGAAGGCTCCTCCTGCAGAGCCTCTGGGCCAGGCAGCAGCAGCTCCACCCAGTGCTGTTCCCCACCTCTGCCTGTCCTGCAAGGCAATGGTGTTGGGATGAGAAAAGGGACAAAGGGGGTTTCCTTCTTACTAAAACATTTGTTTCCTGCTACCGGGAAGGCTTCTGTGCTTTTGCCACAGAGGTGCTTGTCTTGGTGTCCCCCTCCATTTCTGCTGCAGGATCTGGCTCAAGCTGCATCCAGACCGCCTGGGAGAGTGGGCAGCCTCAGGGATTCATCAAGAGAGGGAAATGATTCAGCATACCTGGAGGGGCTGGGAAACATGGTGGGGTTGAAGACCATGGGCCACCTCTGTGTCTCACCATCTCTGTCCCCCATGACCAGGTCAGTTTGGCTGGGGCAGTCCTAGAGCACTGGTGGGGGACAAGGATGGGATGATTGCAAGAGAATCGTAGAGGGAGCCTTGCAGGTGCTAAGGAGTCCAAAACATTGTTGTCTGGTTTAAACACTCTAAGTCAGAACTTCCCAGGGCAGAGAGCACTTGAAGGTTTGTGCTGGCTTAGCTGGTATCACAGGAACCTGGGACCACAGGTGTTCAAGCAGGGGCTGCTGGCACGAAGGTAGCACTTGTCTTCATCCCCAGGCAGGAGAGGGGTCAGGCAGCAGTCGTTCACCTTCCCAGGAGCTCTTGTTTCTCCCTTCCTCCTTTCCTGCCTGCCTGCCTCCCTCCTTCCCTCCCTCTTTCTCCATTCATCCCTCCATTCATCCCTCCAAACATTCCTCCATCCCTCTTTCCATCTCTCTTTCTCTCCTTTCATCTATTCCTCTATCCATCCTTCCCTCCACCCTTCCATCCCTCCATCCTTCTATCCCTTTGCCTCCCTCAGTCCCCACAGCAGCACTGGGAAAGGTTGGCGGAGTGGGGCTATTTTTGGGAGCGTCTCCCTGGCAACGGCTGCCACCACCGTCTGTGGTGGCTTTTCCATAGGTGCTAAAATATTCCACGCTTCTTATTAAAGACGGTGCTGGTGGAGACGGGCGGGGGTGGTGAGTGTGAGCCACCCCGCTGCTGGGGCCGGTGGCCATGGGGCGGTCAGGGCATGGCACCTTGGGGGGCACAAAGACAGAGAGGGGCCGGTGGCATCCTTGGTGCGACATCCCCGTGTCCCACTCAATGGCTCCAGAAGTGCCAGCTGCCTCTTGGCCATGCTGGGCTGCCACACCATGCACGAGGTGTAGCTGTTCATCCTCTCACTGCGCAGGTGGAGGGAAACAGGGCGAGGTCTTGTGGGGAGCCAGCAATGAGGAGCAAAAGGCAGAGAAGAGGAAACCCAACCTGAAGCTGAGGCGACCACAGGGTTGTGCAGGTATTTGGTGGCTTTGCCTACTCCAGGAAGGAGGAAGATGTCTCAGCAGCATCTTCATCCATTTACTGCACGGAGGAGAAAGGCCTGTCATGGTGCCAGAGGGATGGCATCCTTTGCCACAGGGCAAATGGGCAGCTACTGCCCTGTAGCTCTTGGGAAGTGGCCCCATGGGCCCTAAGGACAGGGCTTTTGGGAAAGCAAGTACGCTTATGAACCTGAACAAGGTTCCCATAGGGATGGCTACAGAGGGCATGGACACACTGGTCTCATTCCCTCCAGTCACAGCAGCTCCCTAGGATTCCCCCACTGGGGCAGGATGGAGGAGCCATGAGTGCACTGAGATGAGCTGGCCCATGCAGGAGGCTGATGAGCTCCTGGTTTGCAGCTGCTCATCTGCATGGAGCTACCAAACTCACCCTCTGCTTCCTTGGTGGTGGCTTTGCCAGGTGGGAGCGGGCTGTGCTCGCCACGGCAGTGCTCACTGATGCCGGTGGGGGACAGCAGGCCCCACAGCATCTTGTGCAAGGGGATCTTGGGATGATTTTGGGAGGGAGAGTTGTGATTCTTGCGGGATTGGAGCCCAGGGGAGACTCAAATTGTTTTTTTTTTATATTTATTGACTTTTCAGCACAGGCCCTAACACTGGGGACAGCAGATAAGACACCAGTATGGAAACTGTGTCCTCAAACCACTCTGTCCTGGAGCAGGGCTGTCCCCTGGCTTCTCATCTTGTCACCAAGAAGTGACCTCTGCAAAGCCTCTGAGGTGCTGCTGCCCATGGAGACCCAGAGGAGGTTACCTGGACATGTTTCCTGGCGGGGCGGCTGTGCATTATCCTGGAGCCCTGAGGGCTGGTCCCTCTGTGCCCACGCTCCTGTCCCCAGCGTTACCCATCCCAGAAGGCAATCTCCAGCTCTGTAGGGCGGGAAGGCAATGCCCCACAGCAAACACTCTGCATCAGCTGGGAGAGCCTGGCCCTTCCTCAGAGCGAGGTGTCAGCCCAGCACCCTAAATCCAAGTGGGGAAAAAAACCCTGACAGTGGATAATTCATCCCTGTGCACCAGCCCAGCAGGAGGATTCACCTCCTTGGGGGCACCCGGTGGCCCTGCTGTCCCTTCCCCTCTGCCGATGGTTGCTCTCGTCTCCCCCATGGCGGTTCTGCAGCTCTGAGCTCACATGCGAGGATGGGCTAAAGTAGCGGAAAGCTGTTGGATCCTACCACAGAGTTACTGACTTCTCAGCTACAGACTGCATAGCAATCAGCGAGGGGGAGAGGCAGCCAGGGAAAGGGAGCGGAGCGCAAAGGGAGGCAGAGTGGAAGGCAGAGGGGGGATCTGGGGACTAGAGCAGGGAGGCAGCGAGAGGCACAGGCAAATAATGCCAGAGAAGGAGGGAACCGGGCAGGAGGGGGAGACCTGAACCCATCGCCGAGCCACGAAGGCACATCAGCACTCCGTGGGATGGACGCTCCTGGGAGCAAAAAATTCTGAGAGGCAGAGGCAGGAGGAGAGCTCTGGCGTGGGCAGGGCAGAGTTAGGAGAAGAGCAGGTCGCAGCAGAGAAGTAGCTCTTCGGGGGGAAAAAGATAAAGCTAAGCTGGAGGTGAGCGAGGGCTGCAGAGAGACCTCCCTGATTCCTCCGGTCCGGCTGAGACATTTCATGGTGAGATGGAGAAACCGTCCGCTTTCCCCTTCCTCTGATGTTGGCTCGGCACGGCTGGAGCAGGCAGCAGCCCTCGGCAGGACCTGGGTAAGAGGCGGTGCCGGGGCGCGCTGCTCCCCTCACCGGCATGAGACCGGGAAGGGTTTTTTTTTTGTTTTTTTTTTCTCTTAGGAAAATAGTGTATTGTTTCATTTGCGTTCACTCTGAGCAACAACTATAAATATAACTTAGGGAGAGATGTGTGGCTTCATGTGAGTGTGCCAGTGAATAATAAAGTTGCCTGTGTGCACGGCATATGCACGTACAGCTACCAGGGTGGCCACGGGCCAAGGGGCAGGGGTGGGCACCTGCCTGTAAACCTCCCCAACTTCCCTCCCCACCCCTCGCCACCCTGACTGTGGTCGCTTTGCAAGTAACTTCTTCATTTTTATGGCTCCCCATGTTTCCTTAGTGTCTTCTTGCCCTGGGCTGGGTCTTGCTCACCTTTTTCCCCTCCGTTCAGGCAATGGTCCCACACAGTTCACAGGGAAGAATGCAGCTGGAGATCCCTTTTCCAAGTGCTTGGGTGCAAATGGGGCTAAAGTGGATGTGTTCTCTTACTGCCTGTGGAGCTTTTCGGGCTCCAGACCTGCCCCTCCCTCCCTTGCCTTCCACCTTTCGTAGTCCCAGCATGGCTGATCCTGCTGCTGGTGGTCCAACAGCCCCCGAATAGGCATGATGCAAAGGGTCTTCTGTATACTGGGTTTGGGTGAAAGGAGTTCAGAAGGAAGCCATGAGCAAACTGCCAGAGAAACTCTGCCTCTGCTCCCTATTGGCAAGGTCAGCATCCCCGCCGGGGCATGAATGTGCAGGCAGGTTTGTGTGGTGCTAGCAGGTCACCTCGGATATCCCTGGTGCCACCTTCAGCCTGCAAGGCCCTCTCTTGTGAGCAAAACACCTGGAGTCAGCCAAATCCCTCTGCCAAGAACCTGGAGATCCTGTCCCCACTGCCCCACCCGGACTCCATCCGTGGCGAAGCGAACAGAGGCCCTGAGCCCTCTACCTTTTCCCATTCATCTTTTTAGGGGGTTGTGCTGTGAAGGGCAGACAGTGACAGCACACATGGGGGATGCACGGTGAAGGCGATGCGGCTCCAAGACTACCCTCTACCCCTGCTCTGTGCTCTCCTTGGCTTCTCAGGAGTAGGCATCCACAGGGGGTGGGAGGTGTGGAGATGAGCTAGGGGTCTGGGGCCACCCAGAGCCTGGGAGAGGACAGGTGGGAGCATGGGGAACACATCTTGATGGAGGCATGCAAATACATCCCTTCTCCATTCACCACTAGAAGTGGCACCCACAGAAGCCTGAGACACCCTGGCACGTGACCACCCTTGTTTGTGGCCACGGACAATAATAATAAGTACAGGGGAAATATGTGCCTTAGGATGGAAACATGAGTCTGGTGGGGACAGTGGGTGGTGGGGAAGAGGAGGCATGATGAGGAATGACCACAGACAGGGTAAGCTGGAGAGGGCTGGTCCGGAGGGAAGTGGGGCTCCGTCTTCTCCACCTTTCTCCTCTTCCCTCTCCCCCCCAATTTGGGTGCCAGGATCAAGTGCCCCAACCTGTGGTGCTGACAGGGGGCTGGAAGTAGTCCATGCCCCTGGCAGCCCTCAACCATGGTTTTCAAGGAAAGCTGGAAAGTGAGGAGGTAGCGGGAAGGATGGAGTTGTCTGGCAGGATGGATCCTCACTGGCCCCTCTGGCCACTTGGCCACCCCAAGCTCAGCCGCTGACCACCACCCTAGGAGCAGCTGCATTCCTGGGGTGGTATTACTGATGGGAGGGTGGCAACAGTGGGGAGGAGGACATGGTGATGGATACCTGTGCCTGCCGCGCGCTGACATCAGCGCAGACCATAAGCGGAGCAGTTAATGGCAATCTGCCCTCAGCATGTTCCCCTGTCCTGTCTCATTATTGCACTGGGTTGGCTTAACCCGGCAGTGCAGCCAGGAATCAATAGATGGATGCTGGCGTCTTAGCAATCGATCCCTTACTCATCCACGCGGCTCCCAGCCTCCCGCTGGAGCTCGTTTTTCTGTGAATGGCAAGGACTGAGTGAAGCTGCCTGTGCTTGCCTCGCAGCACTGCGAAACTGAGTCAGGCTAGATTCCTGCTCCTTCACAGCACTGCCTCTGCGCCCGAGGGCAGAGGGGACTCACATCGAGCCCTGGGAGGCACCAACACTGGTTTTCCTCCCCAAACAAGGTGGCTTTAGTGGCGATGGTTGGGCTTGAAGATTCTTCTTGTGAGAGACGTTGATTCTCTGTCTTGGGAGAGACAGGAGCTGCCTTTGAGCTGGTTCTGACCCTCAGACCTCTCAGGCTTGTTCTCCAGCAGTGAAGAATGTGCCAAGGACCAGGCAGATTAGGGATGTAAGCTGGCTGCCATGTAACCCTGCCCCAATGGTCCAAGAGACCCATGCACCTCCATGCCTGTCCTTCTGGGAGCCTGGAAGCAGGCAGCTTGCTTCAGGGACAGTTTTGGCATTCACACGCTGGTTTATCTGAGGAGAAGATGCCCACCATCTCCTAGCACCAGCACCACTGCTGCTGTCATTGGATATTAGGGAGCAGAGAATGGAGAACAAGGTCTCCTCCAGCCTGGCACTGCCTCATGCTGCCAGCCAGGGACTCCTGCAGCTACTTTACCCATGCCTGCACCAGCCCCTACCACCATGGCAGAGGGTTTGCCTCTCACGATCTGGACGGCTGTTTTATTTCTATGGCAACATTTCTCCCAAAACACTTCACAAGGAGCCTGGTGCTGTGTGAAAACATGGGAGGCAGTGTCCCCCATTCTGTCCCCTGCAAAAAGTTCAGAAAAACGACCTGACACTTCCCCTTGCCTCCCTCCTCACGTCCTTCCCTCCCTGGTGAGCGGCACCAGCACTGGTACAATGAGCTGCTGGTGTCGTCCCAGCTACCCCTCCACTGCCTGTTCTCCTTTCTCCTACCTTCAGCTTCACTCTCCCCTCTCCTCTTGCTTACTCCTTTTCTGCTGGCAGCCTGCCCCAGCACCCGTGCAGAGGGACCAGTTGAAAGTAGTCTTGTAGAAAGTGCATGTCAAAAATGACTCTGCTATAGAGCAGGGTAAAGCCCCATGAGAGCTGTATGGATTGGCTCTGCCAGCAGCGCAGTGAGTGCGGGGGCTGAAGGACACCCGGGATCCTAGAGGCTGGACATACAGGCGCTTCATCCTGCTGAAAAGCTCGATGGCATTATGAAGAGGCGGTGCCTGCCACGGGCACAGTAGGCACAGTGGCCCCAGAAGTCCTCTCCTCTCCTGTCCCCATTGTTCCCACCACCAAGAAAGAACCTCGTGTCTGGGTGGAGGTGACCAGGCAGAAGCTGTGAGCAGCACCGAATGCCAGCAGGCGAGAGGCAGGTGAGCAGACAGGGTGCCAGCGGGAGCAACTATTGCAGGCTGGAGAAGCAGGGGTCTGACAGCAACCTGTAGAGATGGTGGGGGGGATATCGCAGTCGTAGCAGTGTGCAGATGCAGCCGCCGTGTCCTACTCCACACTGCTCTCCCTGGTCTGACCCTGTCCGCGATGGCAGCCCCTGCCGTGTTGGGCAGCTGGGGGGCAGGTGAAGGAAGGGGCAACGGTCCTCCATATGGCATGAGGCGGGCAGCGCTTGGGCTTGATATCTTCTAGATGCATTTGTTAAACAAGACTGATCAAGCTGCAGCAATACAAGTCAACAGACCTGTAGTGAAATAATTGATCTGCTTGTTGCAGAAACGCAGTTTTCCAGCTTACCTGGGATGCTCCCTCGGCTCTATTTCTGGTGCCTTGCAGGCGTGGCTGAAAGGGAGAAGCTGGGACCCTCTCAGGAGAATCGTGGCTCTGCTGGGCTCCTTGGGCTTCTTGTTAGCATAGCAACAAAGGGTTTGAGGGGAGGTTGTTTTTTGTCTATAGCTGACGGGTTAGTGCTCAGCAGCCAGGCCAGGCTGGGAACTCAG